TTACCATAGTCGGCACCATTGTCCAGGGCATCTGAACCGGCGCCTCATCTGCCGCGCAGGCCGGACAATTCCGGATGATGTATCTGACATCTTTTCGAATTACTGACCATTACCATCCATTTTTCTCAATGGCCTTTTCTGTGTTCTTGACCGCGAAGTGGACTACATCCTCTTCATGTGTTGTTTCCAATTGAACCTAGCAAGGAGGTGTGGAACTGTCAGCCATCTAGACCCGCTATCGTCATTGTTTTTTTTTTAATGTAGGACGGACTCCTGCCGTCGATAATCATAAGCCATCTCAGTTACTCGCCAACGTCCAGCCTTGGTGAGCTCCACTTACGGATCCCCTTTTAATCTCCGTAGCAGCAGGAGGTCTGTCCAAACTTCTGCTCTGCGGACGCTTGGCGAAAATCCATCCGTCGTCTTAGCTTCTAAGTTTCGTTTCTCCATGGGTACTTGGCTCGGTCGGCAGTCGGGACAAACCCACTTCTTCTCGCTCCGGTACCTAATACAACATCCGTGGGACCAAACGACGCAGCATTGGCTACATTGTATCCATGTAGACGAATGAGTCGAAGAACAGGGAAAGGATTGAGTAGTTACCACTTTAGGGGAGATCGCCATCTTGGAACTCCATAGCGTCCTTGCGGAGGATGTGTACTTCCTTGTAGCGAGGCTCCGTTTAGGGCAGAGCAGGCTTCCACGGGATTAGCTGCTCACTCACGGGATACTTGCTTGGCGGCTGTAGACGGGTTAGTCCATCCGCATTCCCGTGCTGCTTGGTGGCGCGATGGCAAATGTAGAAGTCGTAGCTCTGTAATCTCATAGCCCACCTTCCCAAGGTTCTCGTGTAATTGGTGTTGTTTCGTAGCAATACGGTCGAAAATGCTGGATTCCCCACACCACAGCCAAACACTCGCCCTTGCACGCCTCGTAGTTTGATTGCGCCTGACTCAATGTCTTCGAGGCGTACTCGATGACGTGCTCCTTCTCATCTGCTCCTTGCTGAGTCAGCATTGTTGATATCGCCTGCGGCCGCCAGTTGGTGTGCAGAGCAAATGACTTTGTCGGATTTGGGCGTGCCAAGATTGACGCAGTTGTCAGGGTCTTTTTGAGTGCCCGAAAAGTCGCCTCACATTCTGGCGTCCAAACCAACTGCTCATCCTTCTTCAGAAAATTTGTCAGAGGCTTGGGGACGCGTGCAAAGCCCTTAATGAATCGTCGATAATAAGATGCCAGCCCCAGGAAGGGTCGGACTTGAGCAGTGTGATGGGAGCTGGAGCCTCTTGTACGGCTGCCACCTTTCTTGGATACGGCTTCAGGCCGTCCACTGAGACGATGTACCCTAAGAAGGTAATTTCAGATAGGAAGAACTCGCTTTTCTCCAATGCCACTCTGAACCCCGCATTTTTCAACGCATACAAGACCCACTCACCGTATTCCACGTGATACTCTTGTGTGTTTTGGAAAAGGCCAGGATATCATCGATATACACAATCACATAAGTTAATCAGGGGCTGGGTCAAAAGGGTCTTGTTAACGAACTTTGTGAAGGCCATATTCATGGCCCGTTGGAATGTTGCAAGGGCATTACATATTCCCATGGGACATCTGATTTGCTACGTGCCTTCGAACAGGACAAAAGTTGTTTGGGTCCTGTCTTGTGGTCGGACTGCGACATGGTGAAAATTGTGTTGGATATTGAATTTTGAGAAGACTCGGCCGGAATCGATGGCGTTCAAGAGACCATCAATACGGGGTAGCGGATACACATCTTTGGTGGTAATAGCATTTAATTTTTGATAGTCAATGCAGACGAGGACCGTCCCATTTCGTTTTGGCACGGGGACCATGGGGAACGACCAAGGACAGAGGGAGGGTTCCACCCATCCGAGACGCTTGAACTCCCGTACCCTATCCAAGGCTTATTACCGCTCCTTTAATGAATTGCGGTATAGTCGACAATGGATTGGGGCGTGGTCCCTAGTATGAATTGCGATGTCTTTCAGGTGTATCCGCCCGATGTCGTGGTCTTGGATGCTGACCGCCTCGGGTTGAGCCCGTATTATTGCAAGAAGGAGGCGTCGATACTCGGGGGGTACATGGGCGGGTAATTGAGTAGGAAGAGAAACCGTCGCCGTAACAGTTGGAACCTTGGCATTTTCCTCGAGAGAGGCTCCGAACGATGAGTTGACGATTCTTATCGAGAGTACGGTTGTTGTGAGTCTGTCCGCCAGACTTATTGGTTCCCTTTTTGTTTTTTCGACCGAAAGTTCCATTGAAAATGTCTGTAGGAGTTTCCTCGGACCCCATTTGTGCTCAGGGGACCTGGGTTGAAATGCCACCCCCTGTTCTAGAAGCAAGGCGCCTTGACATTTGTAAGGAGGGGTCGCAGACAGATCGCATAGCCACCTTAGTTCAGTAAATCTCTTAGGGAGGGGGTCCACTCTGAGATACAAGAAAACAGGGGGTTCCGAAAAATTGGCTATCCAGGATACTCCCAACAAAGGCTCCCCTCTCACGGCAGAGGAGAGCATTTGGGACCAGCTGGACTCACTCCGGATAGCCTCCTGCCTCCTTGGTTGGCAGAACCGGTCTTGAACTCGGATCGGATATCGGTCGGGTTCGTCCCAATCCTCGGCTTCTGTCGTGGACTACTCTCCACCTCTCGACAACCATTTTGTCATGTTGATCGGACGAACTTCGGTGGAAATGCGAGGGGCTGGTTGTGTGTGTATGTGCATTGCCAGCCTCATCGATATTGTTTGAGGTTTGGGGTGTGCTGATGTAAGCACCACATTAGAACTGTCAAAGTGCATTCGCGCTTCAACCGCCGCCTGCTATGGGATCCCTAATAGTACATCATACGCCTATACATCCAACACGATTGCGTCACACAAGCAATGACATTGTACCCGTCCGACTTATATAGGTACA